ATTTTGATATAACAATTTATGGCAAAATATTTTTGAACTTGAATTGAATTTTTTCAAAGTTTTCAAAAATAATTCAAAGTCCATTTAATTTGGAATTAAGCACAAAATGTTTTTATGAATAGTACTACACTGTATGAATAGTATCGATAATGTATGAATAGTATCGATATTGTGTGAACAGTACCGATGTTAGAAAATATCGAATGCAAAATGGGTATCGATACATCTATAGTATATCTATACAATGCTACAGTAAAATCAGCCCAACGGTAAAAAAATTCAAATACTATGAAGGGGTACCGATACATCTTGATAGTGTACCGATACACCCTGTTATGAGCATCCTATTTTTGTAGAAAAATCATCCCCAAATGGCTCCAAAACAACCCCAACGGCTATATACGACTTCAAACTCATTCCAAGTTATAAATACAAGCTGAGGACACTTGAAGAAAAAAGAGAACAACTATCAAAGCAATCATACACAAGAGAAGAGTTTTTCATTCTTATTTCATATCTCTTGTAAATATTTTTGTTCTTGTGAGCTTAATTCTTGTAAACACCTACCTTAGAGAGGTTTTCTTGTTTACATTTTCTTTCATTGTAAAGGGGTTTTGCTTATAGCTTAGCCCGTGTAAAAGCTAGGGAAAGGCTCTAGTTTATCCCGTGAAAAACTAGGGAGTTGTAAATGTTATCTCTTTGTCCTGTAAAAAGAAAGAACAAATTAGTGAATTTGTTGGAAAATTCTTTGTGAGGAGCTAAGGTAGTTGATGTAGACTTGGTTGAGAAGTCGAACCATTATAAATTGTTGTGCAATTTTTTATCTTTCAATCTCCTTACTCCCTAAACATAAGAACCGTCCCAACCCCTTTTGGCGAACTATTTCGATTGTCGATTCGAGCTTCCGCAAATCCCAACAAAAGTTTTGAATGGGACAGGCACAAATAATATTTAAGGGTGAACATCATCAATAAAATAGGTAACTAACCGAAGAAGATTCAGATTTCAAGATGGTCACGTGCTCACCCTTGGGTACATGTGGATCCGCCGCTGTGTAGAATGAGGGTTATAGTTTGGAGATAATTTTGAAATGTTCAAAAGTTTAGAGACTAATTTAAATAAGAGTTAGAGTTTAGGGATGCAATGAGAATGTTAAAAAAGTTCAAGGATCAATTTAAAACAAAATCATAATTTAAAGACGTGTTGTGCAATTAAGTATTTAAGATACGTGTTAGAAAAAGATCATCCTAATTGCAATTCAAGATGGTTAGGTTTTAAATTTACCATTTATCGTATCATTTGCTCATTTTGGCAAGTATCCATATTATAAGGTAGAAGATTCAAGTTTCGTCTAAAATTAACACAAGTTATTGTAAAATTATTCGATCATCGATCTATAGTCTTTAGATGTATTTATGAGTTAGATTGTGATGGATTACGATTTTATTTTTTATTAATCTTTTTTATCTAAATTCATTAAGACCGATGTGAATAATCATTTTACAATCTAAATGATTATATAATCTTTTACATTTTATAATGGTTAAATTATAATTTTGGTCCATCTACTATACTCAAATTCAAGATTTAATATCTATATTTTAATTTAATGTCAATAATCGATCTAAATAATTAATATTTTAAACTATTTTGATCTATGTGCTCAAGTGGAATCTTTTCTGAAAATATTCATTGAAGTCATTATGTGACATCGATCTAAATAAGAAAATATAAATATTCAATATAACTAAAAATGAGATATATAAATAAATTTTTAATTTCATTTGTAAAATAATATATATTTACAAGGATAAATTATTAAAAAATGATTGACGTTTGAGCGGTTTATTGAAGAACCAATCATTTACCACAAAAAATTTGCAGATACTCTTCAATCAACTGATGGAACAGCCACTCCACTTAAATATCACACCACGTTTTCAACACTAAAATATTATGATTTTGGGTAAAGTATACGAATGGTCCCCCAATTATAGGGTGTTATTTTATTAGTTCATATACTATTAAAAGTTATAAAATGATCCTCTGATTATAAGTCATTGTTTTATTGAGTCCATCGACTATTAAAAGTTACAAAATGATCACTCGACTATTCATATGTTCCAAACTCGTCATTATTCATTAAAAAAATAGCGGTCATTTGAGTTAAAAATTAACCTATTGACTGAAGTATGATCAAATATGATCTAAGAACCGTTTGAGCTGTATTTTATAGATCGTCTCTCCGTTTATATCATGTCACCGAGCCAATTCTTAGAACATTATATCGTCGAGTCAATGCTTGAAATCAACGACAATGCTAGTAGACATCATTAAAATATAATTTTATCATTTATAGTTAACATATTAATGTTCAATTCAGACGACCGTCAATTTTTTAATGGAAAATGAGGAATTTGAAACATATAAATAGTCGAGTGATCATTTTGTAACTTCTTATTGATTATCATTTCATTAGTTTGTGTATTATGTTTTTATATATGAATAATAATAAATAAATAAATAAGCCGTCCTAATTTGAGTAGGATTTGGAACTTCTTATTGATCAAGCATTAACCCTGCTGTAACATATCTACTCATTAGTGGCAGACAAATAAACTGATCACATAGTGATTAAGCGATTGAAAACGTTTTTATCAAGTTAGATTGTAAAATTCTTCAACATTATTTGAGCCCACTCTGGATCTATCACCAACGTTTAAATTTTAGGGTAAAGTACATAAATGGTCTCCCGATAATATGATATTATTTTATTAAGTCTCATAACTATTAAAAGTTATAAAACAGTCCTCCAACTATAGGAAGTTGTTGTTTTTAGTCCTTCGACTATTAAAAGTCCCAAAATGGTCACCTGACTATTTATTATGTTTCAAACTCATCATTTTTCGTTAAAAAAATTAACAATCATTTGAGTTGGAAGTTAACATACTGACTGAGATATGACAGTCTTTTGAGATTATGATATCAAATTTCATCATGTCTCAGTCAGCATGTTAACGTCAAACTCAAACTGTCTTCAAATTTTTAATGGAAAAGGACGAGTTTGGAACATAATGAACAGTCAGGTGGCCATTTTGTAACTTTTAATAGTCGAGGTACTCAACAAAGTAACTCGCTATAGTCAGATGACCGTTTTGTAACTTTTAATAGTTGTATGATTAAAAAATTGTATCCTATAATCAGGGACCTAGTTTTAAATTTAAATAGATGAACGGAAAATCTGCTACAAAGCTATAAAACAAGCAATCGATTCGTTATAGGGTTTGCAAATAACTATTCATTGTCAGCCGTAATTTGCATATTGGACCGCTCAGTTATGGGCCTAAAGCCTACTCATACAAACCCATATCATATGATGTGATTTTTTCTTCTTCTCTAATGTCACTCGTGTATTATAGCTACAAAAAAATTTAATTAATAAAATTATAATAAAAAATTATAAGATCAAAGTAGATTAATTATAAAATTTTATATATATTTTTAAAAATTTATCATAATAATAGATTAATCACTAAAAAATAAAATAGCTTCATAGAAGGAAATAATTAAAAATTCAATTAAATACAGAAAAAAATCATTTACGATGGCAAAAGATAAACGTCATCAAACTGTCATAAAATGAAACGATGTTACATTGATAAATTAACTTTATCAAAATTCAAATATGATTCATCTTTGATGATTGTGAATGCTTATAAATGTATAATAACCAACTTGATGGTCTAAAATAAATTAAAATAAGACAAATAAATAAACAATAACCGGAGAGATTACATCAAATTCAATTTTAAAAAAAGTAAAAAACCATGTTACAATAATAAAAAATATTGAGAAAAGAAAAAAAAACAACTTCCACCATTTTTATTAAAAAATAAAAGATAAAACAATCAAGGTTAGGACAAAGTATGGGTGAGAGTTGCTTGATCAAAATACCAACAATGTTACTCTCATAAGTTAAAAAATACTTTAAAATAGCTAAACAAAATAACAAATAATTTTAATATAATGTTTTCATGTTGTTCCTATTATTTGAGATGCAAAGTACTTATATTTATGTTATAAAAATAAAAATAATTATAAATTAAATAAAAATTTGATTTATATAAACATTTTTCATTAAAAACTTTAAACCATTAATTGTTTATAAACTATTATTTGATATAATTTTTGATTTATTCGATTTTGATACACGCCTTATAATTTGAATTGTATTAGTATCTCTATCTCTGTTAATATTAAATCCATAACTATATTGATACCACGTATTGATTAAATATCATCTCAATTAAAAAAACAAAAATACTACTTAACAAAATTAAGAATCAAACACGTGATTGATGATAATTTATACTAATATTTACCGCTTTATCTATAATCAAGTATTATATATATATATATATATATATATATATATATATATATATATATATATATACAATGTCAACTAGATTTTATTAATAAAAATAATGTAAAGAATTAAAGTTATAACACATCCAACGTAAAAAATAAATAAAGACAATAACCGCACAAAAAACTCATATAAAAATAAAATATTAAACTTAAATATATAAAAAATAAATATTTCATTGAAAATGACGATCAACATAAAAGAAAGCATTGTAATTTTCATAAAATTTCATAAATATTTTTTAAATGGGCATGTAGAGAATGCCAAATCTAATATAGAATGAGAGTTATAGTTTGGGGATAAATTTAAAATATTTAAAAGTTTAGAAATCAATTTAAAATGAGAGTTAAAGCTTGAGGATGAAATTAAAAAGTTAAAGGACCATTTAAAAATAAAGTTCATAGTTTATGGATGTCCAATGTAATTAGCTCTATTTTTACTAATTCGAACCGCAATATTATGCCTAAACAGTCCAAAATTTATGGTCTTATTTACCTAACTTACCTAACCGTTTCCCTCACATCTCAAGGGTATATTTGTCATTTCACATATAATAAAAAATAAAAAATTCATACATCGAGAGAAACGCAGGCAAAGGTCTGAACAAGCTTGACTTGAGAAGAGATCGATTCTCCAAAAACAACAAAAAGGATCAATTCAATGGAGATAATATAAATAAATAAATAAAATTGGAAGAAAAGAGGGAAGAGATGGTGGTGTGGTTAACGTGCAAAGAAGGGAAAAAGGCAAGTAACGAAAACAGTACTTGCAAGGCACAGATGCCAATATGATCCTTTCTTCTTTCAGTTTCCTCCCCGTCCCTTGCCTTATGCCATAATTTATTCGATGTTTTCTCTCCTCTTCAAAGTCTTTCTCTTCCCTCGTTTCACCACCTTTGTTGCTTTTAAATTATTCTCTTCCTTGCTTTTCCCTCCTTCACTTTGCTGTTTCCTTGCTCCAGTTTGGTTAAAATAGTTGTGTTTCCTTGCTGTTTTTGTTGTGCATTGAGTCTTTTTTTTTTATCTTATTGGCTCTGGGTGTCTCTGTTTTCGACTTCCAAGCTCCACTTTGCTGATGTTTTTTCCTTCTTCCACTTGGCTCTGGGTGAGTGTTTTTTTTTGTTTTTCAATTTAATTTCAGTGCCCGTTACTATAATCGCCTTGCTATTGAATTCCTAGCTCCACTTTGCTGATTTTTTTTTCATGGTGTTCGTTTGAGCATTTGATTTTTCCCGATCTTCTTAGCTCTGGGTATCTTTGTTTTTTTTTTCAATTATCATTTAGTACCCTTAGCTCTAATCGCGTCGTTCTTGTCTTCCTAGCTCGAATTTGCTGATTTTCTTCTTCTTTTTAGGTTGTTGTTCTCTTGAGCATTTGATTTCTCGTGATCTTCTTGGCTCTGGGTGAGTGTGCTCTTTCAATTTAATTCCAATACCCTTAACTCTAATCGCCTTGTTATTGAATTCCTAGCTCCACTATGCTGAAAATTTTGTTTTTCGTTGTTCGTGTTAGCGTTTTATCTTTCATGATCTACTTGGCTCTGGGTATATATGTTTTTAATTTCTTTTCAATACCCTTAGCTCTAATTGGTTCATTCTGTTTCAAAATTCCGAGCTCGAATTTGCTGAAACTCTTTGTTTTTCGTTTTTCGCTTGAGCATTGAATCTTTCATGATTTTCTTGGCTCTTGGGGAATGTGTTTTTTTTTTTCAATTTCTTTTCAATACCCTTAGCTTTAATTGGTTCACTTTTTAATTTTCCAAGCTCGAAACTGCCTAAAATCTTAATTTCCATTGTTCGTTTGAGCATTAGATCTTTTATTGAGTAATCTGAGCTGTTATCGTCGTGATTTTTTTTTTAATTTTTTTGGGTAAGTGAATCTGTGAATGAAACATTTCTCCCTCCGCTGTAATCTTAACATTAAATGCTTACTTTTAAACTTTTAATTTCCCTTTGTTTCTTCATAATTGCCATGATCTTAACTCTCGATTTTTTCTCGGAGTTGAATGTTTCATTATAATTGCAGGCCACGCCATGCCATATCATCTGTATCTTTATCATTTTATCTCTTTGCTTTTTTTCTTTTAAATACTTTCAATCATTTTCCTTGTTGAATAAAGTTATTGTTTGCCGTGCAGAGTTTTTTTTATCTTCTCTTGGAGGGAAAACCTTTAGATTGTTGGAAATAATTTTGTGAAAGTTGGATTCGTTTGAAGAAAATAATTCTTGGTTTTAATCATCATGCCATCTGAAACAATGGACCTGCAGAGTTTGTCTTCACCATCTATTTTCTCTGATGATATGAATTTTCCCACCGAGGTACAAATTTTCTACTTATCCAATCAATTTTTATTTTCCCTCTAAATAATTTTGAATCCCCCCCTCACTCACTATTCTAAGTTTGAATTTCCTGGATTGTGGCAGCGGCAGGTTGGATTTTGGAAACTGGACCCCGTGCTTGATCAGCGAGGTTAGTATCAAAAGTGAATGTTAAGTTAATATTATATACATATATGTGTATATGTATATTCTTACAGGAAAGTAGTTTCAATTGGGAATTGGACTACGTTTTGATCTTTACTTTTTCAAGGGAAATTGGTTTGTTTTAAAAAGTTTCATATTCCATGAAACTGTAACAAGTCAAATTATTGTTCCCTAAGCATATGAAGTGCATTGAAGAACAGACCTGGAAATTTTCGAAGTATCTTCAATCAATGAAAAACAGGCTTTATGAGTTTTTTTTATTGGATTCTCAAAGATTTATCAGCGATAAATCAACAAAAACTTGAGCCAAGCATGGAACCATGGAGCTTCAAGCAAAGTAAATGAAAAATCAGTGATGAAACTATGATTTGTTTTGCTCCTACTCAGAATGCTTGTTAATTCGGTTGCGCCTTGGAATTTTTATTCTATGTCTCTGAGTCTACTTGGAATCTTACCTTTTTTTTCCACCGGCAGAGTGTATGAAGCCGGTTACTCCATCAACCGTGGAGAAAATTATTCCAGTGGAAAGTCACATAACAAGATACATGGACAATGCTGAGCCTTTCACCAAGCAGCACCCGAAAGTGAATCCATGCGTCAATAGCCTTACAGTGGGAGCAGATAGAGTTCTGAATCAATCACTGAAGTCGTCGAAACCTATTTGCAGAGATAATGGGTTTCATTCTGCAAAAGGAAACAAAGTCAATACTATGACTTCCCTGTTCGAGAACAGTCTTTTCTCGAACTCATTTTCGGAGTTCTTCACTAGGAAGTGTAAGTCTTTCTCTGTCTTACTGTTTTTATGTATTGAATGGTCTATTAAGCTTTTCTCATAGCATGCTTATGGTTGCATTTGTTAATTGGTGATTCGTTCTTTAGATAACTGGCTCCTTGTGTTCATCCTTGTTGCAGTGAATTTATCTTCAGAAAATGCTATATATGGAAATTCAATTGATACTATTTCCTCTTCACACTATGAGGAAGAGGAACCATTCGAATCCCTTGAAGAACTTGAGGCCCAAACCATTGGAAACCTTCTTCCCGACGATGATGACTTGTTTTCGGGAGTGACCAATGGACTCGATTTTGTTTTCCAACCATATGGTGCAGAGTATACAGAAGAGTCAGATGTTTTCAGCAGTGTTGGAGGGATGGATTTAGGAGATGATGGTCCCACTGTTGTGCGAAAAAACGAGAAAAGTCACCTGGGATTATTTAATGGTTCAGCAGGAGAACACCCTTCCAGAACACTTCTTGTGAGAAACATAAACATTGATGTTGAAGAATCTGAATTGAAGGCCATTTTTGAGGTTAGCAATTGTTTGATAATGATTGTCATTTCCTTTTTGATTCAAGTTCATGTGTGCGCTTTACTTGGCTTGTTTGTCTTTAGTTGAATGCTTGACCTTGTTTCAACTTCCGATGTGTTGAATGTGCAGCAATATGGTGAAATTCACTCTCTTGACACAGCTTGCAAGCATCTTGGTTTCGTTATGATCTCGTATTATGATATTAGAGCAGCACAAAAGGCAATGGACGCACTCCAAGATAGACCATTGAGGTGCAGGAAACTTGACATTTGTTACTCGATCCCAAAGGTTAGCTCATTTGTTGCCATATTTCCTATTTCCTGGTTCTTTAGTTTGCAGTTAAACATATTGCTATCATGTTCAGGTTCAAATTGTATTTGTGTATAATTTTTATAGAAAATTTGGGTAGTATCATGTTGCTGTAGTATTGAAGTTTAAATGCTATAGTCTGATTCTTTTCATTTTCTGACTGCATTACATCAGGATGAAAACCAAGGCAGTATCGTTGTATTTAACCTTAATTCAACTGTTTCAAATGACAAAAATCGTCGCATATTTGGTGCTCATGGAGAAATCGAGGAGGTGAATCGGTGTTTTATTTTTTTATTTCTATCTTTTTCTGTTGATAGGCCATTGATTTGTTCTTTTTCTTGAACCACAGATCAACCAAACACCAAAAAATCACAAATTCATCGAGTTTTACAATGTCAGAGCTGCTGAGGCTGCTCTTCATGTATTGAACAAGAGTGAAATTGCTGGGAATCAAGTTGAGGTTGAGCTTAGCCATCCCGAGAGTTCAAGAAGATGGTATTGCCTACGCTCCTCGACTCTTCTTTTTCATTTTGCATAAGACCAGAGAATACTTTGTTGTTACCTACTCTGGTGCCGGAAAAACAGTTTACTTATTTATGTATTTCATAGTTCCCTCTCATTTTCTGCTTGCAGTTCTGCACAACCACTTCCTTCAGCGCAGCAAGATGAATGGTACCGTTACGAGCATCCACATAGTCCCCCTACTGATGCAAATTTGGCTGGTATAATTGTTGTTCCTAACAATTGTAATCTCAATTCAACAGCAAACTTTGTATCTATGTGCTGATCCTTGGAATTTCTGACTGCAGTCGGGCCAAACTCATCAAATAACATGGATGTTGGAACTAGTTCGGGGTTGAACTCTGCTATAAAAGCCCCGTTTTCGGAATCAACAATTCCTTATGGTATCTCTCCCATTGTTTCTAACGGTTTAACCTCCATGGGATCAACAGGCCATCAATCAGTCATGGCTGAGTCAGGTCACTTGCAAATGAAACTTGATGTCCAAGATGCACCGGCTTTTAATCCTCGTCCGCTACCGGAGTATCAAAATGGTTTAAGTAGAGCTGTTCACTCCAATTCTTCAGGTCCCTGGGCTGGAAACATTAATTCCAAACCACTGGAAATAATTGATAATAAGCCATTGTCTAGAATTGGCTCAACTGAGAACTTATTTGAATTCAGTAATGCTGGTAAGGGATGACCAATTAAAAACTGCAGTTTAGTGTTTCTTTTACTCTTGTAACATCTTGCATATAAATCGAGTTTTCGGACCTGTCTCGAGGAAGCTCTTTTTGGTGTATTTTTCATAAACGCTCAACCTCCCTCCCTTGCACTCGTAGTTTTCATTGATACTTGTGAAATTCAGAATTCTGGTTTCTGTTTTTCTGTTTATTTATGTTAGTTGGGTTGTGCTGAGTTTCTCAGGCTTTCGATCTGCTGGAAATGGGAGCCATCTTCTTCCCGGACATTCGTATTCATGGAGTAACTCTTATCAGCCTGAGCCTCCAAGTATGACATGGCCTAACTCACCTCCCTTAGTTAATGGAATTTATGCTGCACATCCCAAGGCACAGCTTGACGGACTTCCTACGACTCATTCGCTGAACACTGGTGTACCTATAATTAATTACCATGTTGGATCCGCACCAACTGTTAACCCATCTCTCTGGGACTGGCGACATGCTTATGGAGATGAATCTGCTAATACCTGTTTTCATCCAGGTTCTCTTGGCAGTATGAGAGGTTCTAACAACTTACCATCTTCTATCGAGTTCATTTCTCATTACATCATTCCTTATGTATGTCGGTGAAAACTCTAACGAACTTTCATTATCTTAAAAAAATGTAGGACTGCAAATGTTTCACTCAAGGTCCTCGGTGTACAACAGGAGAGGGCAAAGCATTCCGATTATGAGAGCAGTTGATTCTTCTCATGATCATGTTAGAAGCCGGAGGAATGAAGGAAGTATGAATCAGGCTGACAAGAAGCAATACGAACTTGACATTGAACGTATAATACAAGGGGAAGACAAGCGAACAACACTCATGTTGAAGAACATTCCTAACAAGTAAGTGGCTTCCGACTTTGGTTCACGGATACAGCGCTCATTATCATAGGTTTCACCATTTCTTTGATATTGATTAATAAAAAATGAACTTGGTCCATCATCAGTGTCATCTGTATCCCGATTCCTTTTTGCGAATGGAAGAATCCTGCTATTAATCTGTGGTGCTGATGATTTTTTTTGCTTGTTATTAAATGATCCTGACCATTGATTATAACTTCAGGTACACCTCAAATATGCTTTTGGCTGCAATCAACGAACGTGGCGGAGGAACATATGATTTTGTTTATTTGCCAATTGATTTCAAGGCAAGTTTCCTCTTGTCCGGAATTTTCTTTTATCAAAGCCTTGGAGAATACCAGATTGTGTTCAGAACATATATATTGATTTTACCCTCGTATTGTTGCAGAATAAATGCAATGTTGGATATGCATTTGTCAACATGATTGAACCTAGTCAAGTCATTGCATTTTATCAGGTTTGTTTTCCTAAATTTTTGAGTCGACGGGGTATATTCAAGAACACAAAATGCTAAGCCAAAAGAAATAAATCGTTGCAGGCATTCAACGGGAAGAAATGGGAGAAGTTCAACAGTGAAAAGGTGGCATCACTTGCTTATGCTCGTATACAAGGAAAAGCAGCCCTTATTGCGCATTTTCAGAACTCGAGCTTGATGAATGAGGATAAGAGATGCCGGCCTATACTCTTCAACACCGATGGTCCTAATGCAGGCGATCAGGTACCGAGATAACATAGAAACACCACAGCAATTCGACTCTTCGTATTTCTTGCATCACAAGTTGTTCTTAAGCTTAGAAACTTGCATGTATGTTTGCTATTATAAAGAATGCAAAACTTTTGAATTGCAGGTGCCATTTCCGGTGGCGGCTAATGTTCGAACAAGGCTCGGACGAGCTCGTTCAGATGAAAGCCCTTCGAGTTCAGAAAACGAAGAAACTTGTTCTCCGAAGGGGTCGGACTAGCAAAGGCTGGTTTCTTTCGGCCGGAACTAACCTTTTCTTAAAATAACATCCGTCCGAAATCTTTCTACAGATGAAACTTCAGGAGAGCTCCAACATTTTGGCTTTAACAAAGAGTAATATAAAATGAAAATCTCTGAATTGACATTCTCTATTACATTGCCAAGCTTTTAGGTCCCATCTGCAAATGCAGAGAAACAGGGCCTTGAATATTGTTGATACTCTTTATGTTCCAAATTCTTTTCAGTTTCTATTGATTTATGTTCTGTTTCTGACATGGAAATGAATTCTAATTTCATATGAACAGTATATCGTTATTTATATGAACAATTTTTTAATCATTCATGAGCATATTTGATTATGTTTTTATGAACGTGTTTCATTTTTCAGCATTTAATTTAAATGAATTAACTTTAATTAAATTAAAAAATTTCGATCAGATAAGTGACTCTCAACTCTTGAGTAAATCTACTTTGAACATGATGAAATTAATTTAAAATGAGATCAGGATAAATTTAAAATAACTTTCAATCCTTAAATTTAGTATTTTTTTCTATTTAACCTTTGATTTTTTGGTCCTTAAACTTGAATATTTTATCTTTTGATGACGTGACATTATCAGAATATGTCACATGACATAATCTCTAAGTCTCATATCATAAAAAAGGACTAAAATAAGAAGAAAAAATCAAGTTAAAGGATAATATGAATAAAAATATTAGGGACTAAAGTAAAAAGTTTGTTAAATTCAAAGACAAAAAATTACTTTACCCAAAAAGAAAAACTAGCTAGCTAGCTGAAAATGTTCATTCGGACCAGGAGCTTAACTCGGTCACGTTATCACCAAAAAAAATCTTACATGATCCAATTAAACAAGACAAAAGAAACAAAGATTGTGTAGATTTTATCCACGTTATATAAGCCACTCAAACACTAATACCTCCAACAAAAATCGAGTAAATCCACATAGTTATGGCGTCGCGAGTATTATCGATCACTTCATTCACTCCCCTTCGTCCCACTACACTTAACAAATCCAAACTTAAGCCCACGACAAACCCAGCAAAGCCCTTTCTCTTCTCATCATCGTCGTCGTTGTTGGAGTTTGGTGCTAGAAATGGGAAGCTAAAGTGCAACGCCGTGAGTGAAAGCTCTCAAGGATCGATTGATCGAACCGTTTATCAGGGCGCCTTTGGCCCCTGGACCATTGAGCCTGAAGATGTCCGAGAGGTAATTAGTTTTAGTTTAATACGCTTTTGCTCTTGCAGTGTTTCGTTGGGCAATTTGTGTAATTTTGTTTTCTGGGAATTTGCATGTGGGGAAACGAATTTTGATACCCTTTTGCTCTTGCTGTATTTCTTTCAGTAATTTGTGAAGTTCTTTCTGGGATTTTGCTGTAGGAAAACGGTTGTGATGAACCCTTTTGGTCTTGCTGTATTTCCTTCAGTAATTTGTGTTTTTTTTGGGAATTTGCATGAGGGAAAACAAATTTTGATACTCTTTTGCTCTTGCTATATATCTGGGAATTTGCAAGAGGAAAACAAATTTTGGCACCCTTTAGCTCTAGCTGTGTTTTGTTGAGTAATTTGTGAAAAAATTTCTGGGAATTTGCATGAGAGGAAACAATTTTGATACCCTTTTGCTCTTCCTGTGTTTCCTTTAAGTAATTTGTGATTTTTTTTATCTGGGAATTAGCAAGAGGAAACTAATTTTGATGCTGTATTTCCTTGAGTAATTTGTGATTTCCCCCTGGGAATTTGTAAGAGTGAGAGCGAAATTCGATACCCTTCTGCTCTTGCTGTATTTCATTAAGTGCTTTATGAAAATTTTCTGGGAATTTGTAGCAGGAAACCAATTTTTGATGCCCTTTTTCTTTTCTTGTATCTCCTTTGAGAAATTTATGAAATTTCTGGGAATTTGCAAGAGGAAACCAATTTTGGTACCTTTTTTCTCTTAATATTTCCTTGAGTAACTTGTAAAAATTTTCCGGGAATTTTCCAGAGGAAAACTATATTTGATGAACCCTTTGAGCTCAGACATTTTTTTATTGGCAGGTTCTCTTATACAGGTTCGGATTAGTGACTGCTACTTCATCCTTTGTAATTGCTTCATCAACTGCATTTTTACCTGAAAACTTTGCCTTTAAAGACATCCTCGACCAAAACCTTAATCTGTTTTACGTTATCGGTGCTGGTGGATTGGGGCTGTCCTTGTATTTGATTCACATCTATATAACCGAGCTTAAACGCACCCTTCAAGCATTTTGGGCACTTGGTGTTGTTGGCTCGTTGGCAACCTACTTAGCCCTTGCTCAACCAGCCGGAGAGAACTTGGTCCGGTATGTTATCGAGAACCCGACTGCTGTCTGGTTTGTTGGTCCTCTCTTTGCTGCGTTGACAGGCCTTGTTTTCAAAGAAGGTAGTGTTAACCTTTGACCTTTGGCATAGAATTAGGAAGTGTATGTTTTAACTTCATATGTACCTTTGATTCTCAAATGGCATACTGCTTTTAATTGGTCAATTATGGTTTGGCCCCTCTATTATGTCCGAATTTGAGATTTAGTCGGCACTATACTTTAATAATGTCATTAGTCAGTCCAAATAATTAACATTGTTGGCTATTCCAGATAAAATGATGACATTGTTTTTTCTTAAAACATTCTTCCAGCTCATTGTGCTGACATTGATTTATTTATTTATTAGAAAAATCCACGTTACCATTTTAACTGGTATAGTTAACTATTTGGACTAACTAATGATAGTAGAAGATCAAATTATATCAAATTTGAGAATAGATGAGGGATCAAGATCATAATTTAGCCTTTTGAATTCATAGCATTTTATCCAATCATTCTCTTATGATTAGCTTTAATCTGCAAACAGGTCTCTGCTATGGAAAGTTGGAAGCTGGTATTCTTACATTCATTATACCTACACTTCTTCTTGGCCACCTGGTATTTTTTGATCCGGCAACTTGATACTTTTTACTTCGGAAAATCGTTTATAGAAGTAAATGTGTAATCAATGCGTTGTTTTTTTGAATTAGGGAAAAATAATGTATTAAATGCGAAAAATGCTTAAATGATCCTTAACTAGTGCCTATAAGCACCCACCCTTGAACCAGACCCTATCACTTTTGCTTCTTTTTCTGGGTTTGGATTTCACACATATGATCATCAAACTAGCTTCTTTAAGCATGTATATTTTGATGAGCTTTTAAGCTGTTTACTCGAAATGCAGACTGGTTTGATGGACGACGGAGTGAAACTTACTCTACTCGGTTCATGGATGGCACTCTTTGTTATCTTTGCTGGAAGGAAGTTTACTCAACCGATTAAGGTACCCTATAAATCACTAGCATCAGTACAATAATGTTCAAACATGTTTAGGCCATGAAACTAAAAAAATATCATTGCTCTAATGCTCTTGTGTTTGGTTTCCAAGGATGATATCGGCGACAAATCCGTGTTCATGTTCAACTCTCTACAGGAAGATGAAAAGCAGGCATTGATCGAGAAACTTGAGAAGCAGAAATTACAGTCAGATAGCTAAGAACAACATCAATAGGGTGCACGGTACTGAAAAATGTGGGAATATTTTTCAGCTAGTTAATTTTGTTAGTGTTCTCCGACCGATGCCTGTTTCGATCGAATCCGGTTTCAAGGTTTTGGGATCTTGTTTCTTCGGGTTTGTTATCAGTTAAATTTTAGGCTTTCAAGACCTTATTTCTTGGGAGTCAATATCCGTTATGCATAGCATGAAAACTTTGGTGTAAATAGTGCAAGAGTAAAGTCCAGCAGAAATAACCCAATTTTATTCAATTGTTGTTTTAATCCTCACAGCTATAAAAATTTGCGCCTTAGTCATTAAATGTTTTTTTATTCAATTGTTAGTTTCTAATGAAGTAGAAGTAGTAACCTGTCGCATATGATAAGTCACGGGTAAAGAGTGAATTACATAAATAATTATTAAATTATGTTAAGATTTTTTTTAATTATTAAAATTTTAAAAGTTACTAATTAATCATTAAATTTTTTAAATAATTATACAATAATCATTAAAATTATTACTTTTTTATAAAATGTTTATAAATTAATTAAAGTTTATCATTATTTTATAATATATACTATATTTTACAATAACTTAATAAATTTAATAATTATTTTATATTCTTTTTAAGTTTTGATGATTAAAAAATTATTTTAACATTATTTATTTACCTTAACTTCAAGCCAGTGTAGTCTTAATAGTTCCGTTTATTCAGCAGCCCGGACCGGCCCGGGCACCTCTATGAAAAAGCAAGAGGAAAAAACGACATGTCGTTTCACTGCCTCTTGAAAAAGCATTAAAGTTTCAGGGCAGAGAAAATTTTCCCATTGAAACCCTAAGCAATAAACAAGATTCAAGGATGCTAAGAGTTGCAGGGAGAAAATTCTCCTCTCTTCCACGGCGATCGTCCGCCGCTCTCTATCCAAACAATCCCGCTGCCTCCGCCACCTCTTCTGAATCGCCTGCCATTTCCAGATCGGTTTCCTCTCTTTCTCCTTTCTGCTTCAACTCGAAGCTTTCGAATCTAATGAGAGGTAATATTTTTTCCATTTAATTTATTCGTTTGGTTATCTATAGGTTTCCGTTTGATTTCCTCTGTATTATTTATCTCATCTTATCGATGAGATGGTATTGTTTATGACAATATTCTAGATTTTGTGATTTTTCTAATTGCGTCGAAGTTAAAGAATATAGAATCTATAACCCCTTTTTTTGGATTTTTTTAAATTTATTATTAAATTCCTTATTATATATACAAAATGATTTCAGACTGTTTATGATATGCACCGATGATTGCATTTGGTAGCTTTTGATGTTGAAGAAATTAGATGTTCATTTTGATTACTTTATTCCTATGTGAAGGTTATACCATTCATTTATGCTTTTATTAAATTAAGCAGCTACTTGTTCTTTTTTATTCAATGGAAATATGAATAAAAATGTAAAGAGATGTGTGATCCTTTGCCTGCATAAGCGAGAAGCAGTG